TCAAAATCATGTACTATATATCTCTAAAGGAATTTGAATGTTTTCTGAACATTTTTTTTTTGTTATTGAAAAGAAAACACATACATAAACAAATAAAGATGACATATTAAGCCAAGAAAATAAAAAAATTAAAATCATATGGTTTCATAGCCCTACCTATCATTGTACCATGCTACCTTCTAGACTCAATCAAAGGCATAGAAGTGTAAAAATGGGATAAGACAGAGTCAAAATATGGCAACCCTGTGAAAATACCTCTGTTGTTATGATATCGTAACAACATAGTTAGCAATGTTAAGCGATTTAAACCGATTAGGCAATGTGCAATTAATTAGGAAAATCTATGGAACAGAATTTTAAAACACAACTTTTGGATTTTTAAAACTTTTATTTGTCATTTTTATACCCTACAACACTATGTGTTGGGGGTATTATAAGTTTGATTGGGCCAGAATTTATGTAACACCTCGAAATATTGGTTTCCCAAATAGGAAAGTATATATGGATCTTCCTAGCTCGTCGAGCTGAGTCGATCTAGCTATGTATGTCCGTCCGTCCGTCTGTCCGTCTGTCCATGTTAATTTGTAATCACTCTACAGGTCGCAATTATGGCCCGATCTTCACGAAATTTAAAATGTAGGTGGGGTTAAGGTCAGAATAGAACCCTATTTCTTTTGGAGATGATCGCCAAATGTTTAGGGGTTGAAATGGACCAAATACTGAAAAAATGTCGGATTTTGCAGTAGCTATACAGGTCGCAATTATAGACCAATCGACGCGGAATTTCGCATGTAGCTAGAGTTTAGGGCGGGGAAGAAGTCTACCAATTTGGGTGGTCATCGGATAATATTTAGCGGGTAAAATAGACCATATCTTTTTTGTTGAAAAAATTCAAAATTTTTCATTAAACCGCGAATATTTTAAATCCCGGCGAAATCCAAAGCCATGACAAGGTTACTTCTGATCTTCACATTGATGTTAAGATCAAACAAATCGGATATATAGCAAAATATGTGCGATATATATGTCTATCAAAGAAGATATGCTTCAAAGATCTCTTAATGTCGAGAACGGCTGAACTGATTTCGACAGTTCTCATTAATTCAGAATGGCCTCTCGGCAGGAAAGAAAAAACTTAAAAATATCTCTCTAAAGATGAAAATATTGATTTTGTAATATTTCTCATATTTTTTCAATTTTGTCATATTTTTGGCATATTTTCTTATTGAATTAAACATTTGGTAATATTTCTACAGCTAACAAAACTAAGTAGTTAGGATATCAGGATATCATATACAGATCGCATTTATGGCCCGATGCTAACGAAATTTTGCATGGGGATCAGATGAGGGTCAGAATAGAAGCCTACTCTTTTTGGAGATGATCGCCATATATTTAGGGGTTGAAATGGACCAAAAAAACTGCAAAATTGTCAGCAGGTCGTAATTATTGTCCGATCCTCACGCACATTTGAATGGGGGTTACCGGGCATTGCAATAGCCAAGCAGTTTTGGATGGCCATCCAAAAATATTCAATGTGTGAAATAGTTTGCCAACTTTTGTAAACAAAATACGAAAATGACCATTCCAGTGACTTTTTGGAGAATTCACAAATACAGGAAAGACGCACTTCTGACTATTTCGTTAAGGCTGATTTCGTTGAAGAATATAGTCAAATGTCTGTATCTCATATAGATGCGTTTCAGTCAAAAACCAATAACAAATGTTAATCTTTTGCCACTTCTGAGAGGTCTTTGGGAAATATTGGTTCCAGACCTAGGAAGACCATTTAAGTGCAACATCTACCAATAAATTAGAAATGAGCAAATTAGTTTAAGTTGCTATTATTCGAAAATTAGAGAACGAAACCTAATGGGTTTCTTTTATTATTTGTCACAATATCTTGTGGAATTCTTTCGAGTATCTCGCCTATATAAACTGTGTCGTTTATTATAGTGTTGTAGGGTATTCAACGGTCGGCCCCGCTCGACTGTAGCCTTTGCTTACTTGTTTTCTATAAATGTGTTTTTTATATTTATATTGAGCTGTTATTCTAGATAGTATAGGTATTTCTGAGCTGCATTTGATATGTTTCCCCAAATATTATTGTTACAGAGTGCATATTACGGCTGCGGAGGACAAAAATAACAAATCGGATGAACAATATATATGGGAGCTATAGAAATATCTGAACCGATTTCGATTAAATCTGGCATACTTATTTTCAGGCCTAATTTGGTTGTATGTGTAAAATTACATACTATTCGGGCTGATATTACACGTTTGGTGCACAATAAGAGGCAAATCGGACGAAGATATATGTGGGAGCTATATCTAAATTTTTACCGATTATCTCCAATTTCAATAGGGTTCGTCCTTGGGCCAAACAAATTTCGTTTGTAAAATTTCATCTCAATCGCATAATAAATGCGACCTGCATTTTATTCACAAGAATACATGGACAGACGGACGGATCAAAAGGAACTATGGGCAAAGACCTGAAATGGTAAAGACTAGAAAAAATGCATTTTGAGCAAATGGTTTGTGTCTACAATACATAGAGTAACAGCTCATGTCAGAGACATGTTAATATAAAAACCACAATTACAGAAACAAATAACAAATTAAAAGTTGAAAAATCCAAAATTTTGGTTTCAAAATTCGCGGCATGGTCTTACAAATTTTCAGCTGCTAATTGTCATCGTAGATAGATTCATTAGTGCAAACAAATGTGAACAATTTAATGTGAACATTGAAAATTCAAAAATGCTATAATAATACTTTAAAAATAAACAGACTTTTAAATAATGGTTTGTACAATGTGATTGGTGTAGTTATACCAGAAAGTGCCGGAACGGAAAACGGAAGTGAACGGAACGGAGTAAAAATATCAAGATTAGAATTAGGCAATCGTTCAAAATCAAAACTTCAACTGGAAAGGTTTTCATGTACGGAAAGTTAAAAAATTGCAAAACCTGTATGCCGATGGCTGTTAACCTTCTTAATTCTACTATGCACCGCTGCAGAGTTAAGAAGATAACCTTTTGCCATCAAATGTTAATTTTTTTATTTTTCAAAATTATACCTTTAACAACATTTTAGTATCTGAAATGAAAAACTGTTTTAAATGAAGTTAAATTTGACACGGGAAATTACGGAAAATACAGAGTTGTATACACCTAAGTCTGTTTTTACACGGTCTTTTTGTACACGGTTTTGATATAACACGGTTTGAAAATTGAATATTTTTAATTTTTTACACGATATTATTCCATTTAGCACGATTTTAAATTTTATGTACTTAATTTTTTTTTTTTTTGTCAAATTTAATTCTTGCGAAGTATGTTCATATCACAAAAAAGTATTTATGATTCAGAATGGCCTCTTAGCAGGAAAGAAAAAACGTCTAAAAAAATCGCATAAAAATATCTCTCTAAAGATGAAATTATTGGTTTTGTAACATTTTCTCATATTTTTTCAATTTTGTCATATTTTTGGCATATTTTCATTTTGAATTAAACATTTGGTAATATTTCTACAGCTAACAAAACTAAGTAGTTAGGATATCAGGATATCATATACAGATCGCATTTATGGCCCGATGCTAACGAAATTTTGCATGGGGATCAGATGAGGGTCAGAATAGAAGCCTACTCTTTTTGGAGATGATCGCCATATATTTAGGGGTTGAAATGGACCAAAAAAACTGCAAAATTGTCTGCAGGTCGTAATTATCGCCCGATCCTCATGCACATTTGAATGTGGGTTACCGGACATTACAAAAGCCAAGCGGTTTTGGATGGCCATCCAAAAATATTCAATGTGTGAAATAGTTTGCCAACTTTTGTAAACAAAATACGAAAATGACCATTCCAGTGACTTTTTGGAGAATTCACAAATACAGGAAAGACGCACTTCTGACTATTTCGTTAACGCTGATTTCGTTGAAGAATATAGTCAAATGTCTGTATCTCATATAGATGCGTTTCAGTCAAAAACCAATAATAAATGTTAACCTTCTGAGAGATTATAGGTCTTTGGGAAATATTGGTTACAGATCTAGGAAGACCATTTACGTGCAACATCTACCTATAAATTGGAAATGAGCAAATTAGTTCAAGTTTCTATTATTCGAAAATTAGAGAAAGAAACCTGATGGTTTTCTTTTATTATTTGTCACAATATCTTGTGGAATTTTTTGGAGTATCTGGCCTATATAAACTGTATCATTTATTATAGTGTTGTAGGGTATTCAACGGTCGGCCCCGCTCGACTGTAGCCTTTGCTTACTTGTTTTTATTATAGTTAAAAAAGTTTAACAAACAAACAAATTTTTAATTTAAATTTACATTTTTGACAGTTTATTGTATCACTAGCTTGTTGAATACACTCAGTGTTGCCAGTATTGTGCAAAAATATATAGGCAACACAGTTTTGTTTGACAATGGTCTGAATGATGTAGCAAGAAAAAATAATAAATTTGTTTAAAATAGAATATGGAAAACGTATGACAATACTTCGACCTTTCACCAAGAGAAAAACTTATAATTATGTCTAGCATACAACGGAAAAATATATAAAAATATTATTTAGAATTGCAACTCTAAATACACCAGTCATAACTTCGCTCAGCAAACGTTTGGAAACATTTCCTGGCGATTTGTTTGCAAACAGAACAGATTGGCAACTCACGGCCATAGTACATTAAAGCAAACGTACTTTTTGTGTATTTCTTGCATTGAAAGGTTTGTGGTTTTGTTTTGTATGAAGTACAAAACGATTGAAAAAATTTTTAAAGTTTGTGACTTCGTGTGAACGGTACGTTAATCGTTAGTATCTGAAATGAAAAACTGTTTTAAATGAAGTTAAATTTGACACGGGAAATTACGGAAAATACAGAGTTGTATATTGTTATTTGAAAGGAAGCGTTTTCGAATTTGTGTTTTTTAAATTTGTATATGATTGTTTCGCGGTTTCCTGCATTTTATACCATCTTGCTATTCTTATTTAACAACATTTATTTAAATAAATATTTGATTAGAAACAATTACAAATAAAATCACCACCACAATGGCCAGACATGTGACCCAGGTTTTTGCAGAACAAAATGCAATTCAAATGGTTTCCGATTTCGTCACAATACACCAACACCGGCTTTGTTCTGCCCTGCATCTTGGAATTGTCATCGAATTCAGTTTGTTGTCCTACAGAAATTGGCAATAGGAGGAAACAAAACAAAAATTTGAACTCAAACATACTTTTCAGATTTTTAAGTGTGGGTGCTTTTTATGCAAATTCTAGTTACCAAGTATGGGCACGGCATAGCCAAAATTGCTGTGATGCGTCATAATAGCCAAGACAACTAGGAAGATTGTGACCATATTAATACGCCGCTGCAACATCATCGTTTTATTTTAGGCGAAGTGTTTTTTTGCTAATTGAATTTGGGAAATCAGTATTACCGTCACGTTTCGGAAACCACCGACGACTTTCAATTTCGTTCTTCTTTCAATAATTCGGAATGATGCACCGCGTGGAGCTGGTGAATTGAGCTGCGTTGTTGACACTTTGAGTAATCTTTTTCAACTGATTGAGGGACGCAATAAACGCATAGCCCACAGAACATTTAACATTTTTGTTTTATTTCGAAATTGTTTGCTTGCTTTTTTTATATTTTTCTTTGCCGTCGTCTGGGATCTGTGTTCAAACGACCAGCATTCTGTGAGGGTTTTGGCTTTTAATTGAATCTTATGAATATGAAGCGATTGAACGATGTGGATGGGTGGATGGATTGAACGGCTGGAGATTGATTGATAACGACGTAAACGTAACGAAAATGTCTAGAACACAAAGTTTATTTGTAAATATGAATATGATGGACGTTGTTCTCATCTCACCGAGGAAGAAATGTATTTAAACAAACAAATATGTATGCATGTGTGTGTAAACGGGTGATGCACCCTGATTACGGAAATGTAATAGAATTGAACTTGAACTTTCGCAAAAGTAAATCAATGACTGACTTATTCTTTTATACATTGTATAGCCCTCCAGAAATACAGACCTGAGGCTGTGTCGCTTCCTGTCAGAAATGTTCAGTATTTTATGCAACAACTATCTGAATCCGGTGCGCTTCGCTAACCCTTTTAATTTTATATGCATTCAATATTTTATATACGAATATTTTGTGGTTAAAAAAACGTATTTATTGTAATACTTTAATGCGTAAACAAACAAAACACCCGGTCCACCAACGTGTGAACATGCCAGGCACAACTGACCATGAGAAAATAGGAATATGCCAAATTTATAAAATCGGCCGAAAATATATATGGAAGCTATATCCGAACCTCAACCGATTTAAATATAATTTGGCATTTTTTTGTACTAAATTCCGTTACTTATTCCAAACTTCATGGTAACCAGACCTACATATGGTGTTCGGTGCATAAAATATGTGAAATCGGCCGAAAATATATATATATATCCAAGTCTTAACCGATTTTAATATAATTTCACAAAATTATTTTTGCTCGAAATTCCGCTACGCGCTCCAATATGTGCATACAAATTCTAAATTCTGATGCTATATCTTCGGTTCCAAGTATGATTTTAAAAAAGCATATAGCCTATGTATATATATATATATATATATATATATATATATATATATATATTTGGACATTTTCAGCAGTTTTTGAGTCCATTCATTACAAACAAACGTTTTCATCATTTATACAGGGTGAGATGAAAAAAAAACTGCAGACTGCTGTTATTTCTAAGTCACTCGTCCGACAGCTGTTAAAATTATTCCCGTGACAGCTCATTATATTGTTTACAAGCGTACAAAAGCATTTTGGTGAGAATTTTCCAGAAAAAAAGTTATTCGTGATGGAATTCGAGCGTGAGAGTGTGATTTCTTTATATTTGGCTGCAAAACCACAAGTGGCTATCGTTAGAGCAATCCAGCATTTAAATTGGAATAAATCTTTTGTGTCCCGTACCATCGCTCGTTACCGTTATACTGGAAGTGGACGGAAGAAAATAACAACATTAGCAGAAGTGGTTCGAAAAGTAAAGAAGCGACTTGATCGAAACTCGCGTGGCAGTGGCCGAAAAATGGCTCGTGAACTGAACATATCGCTATATTCCATTCGACAAATATTGAAAAATTAGCTCGGGTTAAGCCATTGAAATTCCAAAAAGTGCAAAAACATACACCGCAAAAGAAAAAAATAGATTCGAAAAAAGAGCTAAAGAGTTGCTTCGCTTGGCCGAAAGTGGTGAACTGCAGAATTTAGTTTTCTCCGATGAGAAAACATTCGTTGTGTTTACTTGCCCACCAGAACTCAAGCGCCGGCCATGGTGATGGTGTGGGCCGCCATAACAGCCGAAGGTCGCTCTGCGCTCGTATTAATCAACAGTGGCGTCAAGGCGCGGTCGACGAAGGGGTTTTTGTTGCAACAGACAAAACTAACTTACATGGTTATGCTACTTCGTTCATGTAAAACGAAAGCATAACAAGTGGAGAAAGATAAAAATGTTTATAAGTGCGGTTGTAAGATTTAGAAGGTTTTCCAAAAGAATTTTAGTTTTATGTAATTCTTTGGTTCCACTTCGTTGAGCTTACGATTTCGTCACTTGGGTAAAAAAGTTTTTTTGTCATAGGAGTTGTTTTTAAAATAACTCCTGGGGAGAATATCCCAGACAAAAAACAAGCGAACTGATGCGGATTGGTAGCTGTTTCCGAAACCTAGGTATTCCGTGCCTTACCCTCTGGTAAACATTATCATCGTTCTCCACTAATAAACAAACGTGTTTTTTTAACAACAATAATGGGACTAAGGAAGACCATTTGGCAACAACAACATATTTATTTTTAAAAACTCAAGCACAATTTGTTTCGTTTTGACAACTCAGCTGATAGCTTGCAAGTTTTTGCACGGATTCCGTTTGTTTACTTTTCACAGTTTTCTTGCAAAAGAGAATAAAACTACCTCACTCTTTCAGAAAGAAGTTGCTGGACAATTCCTGCAGGGAAAGTAACCAGACATACCTATTTTGATGCAGTTCGTTTTTATATTATTTTTACAAAAAGAAAAATGAATGAATACAAACAAAACATAAGCCGTTCCCATGCACAAAGATACCGTATGCAACAAATACTCATTAGTCCTACATCTCGGTTTTATATAGGCATGGGCAGTGATGTTTCACCAATGCACAATTTTTAAATGATTTATTTATACGATCTTAAATGATTTATTGTACATATTTACTTAAGTTATAATTATACAATTTTAGAAACCTTTTTCCACAAAAAATACTTTTGGTTAATTGGTTTGTTTACCAACCAGATGATGTTAATGGATAATTTCTTCCCAAAGGATGTAAATTCTGCTATGACAAAACGATCATTCAAATCCCTCGGCTGGCCATGCAGTAGCCAAAACGGTATGTCCAATTTCAAAGCACATTATCGATTGTGTGCAGCTTCATGTCAACAATCGGTTTTCGCCGCCAGAGCTAGAACCCACTATGACCTACATGTAACAATTTTTAGACAAATCCGTTAAAAAATATGGCACAAATCATAAAAATACCAAATATCGGGAGGTACCGTTATACCAAAACGTGGACCTACATATACTATGTTCCGCTACCGGAACCATGAACTACAAATACCATTTTTTAGACAAATCCGTGAAGAAATATGGCAATGAAATACGGAATATTGGTAGGGACCGGTATATGGGAGTTATGCAAAAACGTGGACCAATACATGCAACGTTCGCCACCGGAGCTAGAACCCTTTATGACCTACAAATAAAAATTGGTATTTGTGAAATCCGTGAAAAAATGTGGCGAGAATCATCAAAATACCGAAGATCGGGAGGTATTTTTATCTTTTTATTTAAAATAATTAGCAAATTTTAATTGTTTCTCAATTGACGAAACCATTGTTAACAAAGTGTTGCCACATTTTTTTTTTCTTGAAAAATTTTCACTTGTGAAAACTAAACAATCTGACCTTACGAATGATAAATTGAAGCAAAGATTAGAAGATTACAAGATTACAAAATAAACAAGTAAAAAGCAACTAAATGAAAAATGTTATTTTTGAGCCTGCATAGGTAATTTTTTGTCATTGGCTGTAGTATGGATTCCAAACTTCAAATACGAAATTTGAAACAATTCCGGTGAATAATGTCGCTAAAATCATCAAAATACCAAATAAAGGGAGGTATCATTATACGCGGTTTATACGAAGACGTGGGCCTGCCTGTCGTAGGTTGAAATATCCATTACAAAATTTGAAACAATTCCCATCTATAATGTCTCTAAAATCATAAAACTAAAGAATATTGGGAGGTACCGCTATACATGGGCTATACAAAAACAACATTTGAAATAATAAATAATGTCGCTAAAATCATCAAAATACTGAATATTGGAAGTTACCTTTATATGGGGGCTATTCGAAAACTTGGACCGACATGGCCCATTTACGAACTTAACGTGCCAAATAGCCTTCTATCTCAATTCGTTCGAAAGATAGACAGACGGACATCGCTAAGTCGTCTAAGAATTTTACGATTATCAAATATATATATACATGTGTTTTGGGTCTGGCATGAGTATGTCGAGGTGTTACAAAGGGAATGACAAATTTAATATAACCTCTATAGCATGTTGAAGGGTATAAAAAGTTCATAAAATGGATTTTTGTGCAAAAACGTATTTTAAAAGATTTATTTTGGAATGTTAACGTTTAAAACAATTAGGGCGAGCACAGGAATTTGTTTATAAGTTAGAATTAAACTTGTTATTAAAGTGTCAAATTCACTGGGGTGGGACAAAGGATCCGAGCCATCTCTGAATTACCTCCGCCGTATTTTTTCAGCATTGTTTAAAAATTAACAAAACTAGTTCTCTTTCCGCACAAAAAAACAAAAAACTTTTGCACATACAATTTTTCACAATTTCCACTTCTTCAGTGTTTTCTAATTATGTAGTTTGTTTTTATTCCTCATCCATGGCAGAAGAATACAGGTAGATGCATCAACGCTTGGGAGCATTGATATGTCAAAAAAATTTTAATGTTTTTTTTTCCAAATATAAGTAAAGTTTTATATGTTCTCTTATATTATAATTCGCGTTTTTCAACAATTTTTACAAATCTAAATAATTTTTCATTCAACATTTTCAATTCCAAAATTGGTTCGACAGTTCATTGTCCCAGCATCTGTGTTTATGCATATACCTATACTACCAAGTCCTCATCCATTCTTTGTTCATTACATGGTAGAAGAATACAGGTAGTCGCATCGACACAGCTGCTGGGACAATGAACTGTCAATCCGATTTTGATATTGAAAATCGTGAATGAAAAATTATTGAAATTTGTAAAAATTGTTGAAAAATACATATCATTACAACCTCCGATTTGCGTCGCATAAGAAAACTTATAAAATTCAACTTATTTTTGACAAAGCACTTAAAAAATTTTGACATATCAATGTTTGCATGCTAGAAGAATATAGGTAGACGCGTCGACACAGCTGCTGGGACAATGAACTGTCAAACCAATTTTAGAATTGAACATTTTAAATGAAAAATTATTTAAATTTGCAAAAATTTTTGAAAAACGCGAATTATGATAGCTTCTTTCTGACGTACTATAAGAAAACACATGGTACAATGAATTCAAGGTAGGGCAGAACTACCATATGATTTAATTTTTTTTTATTTTTTTGGCTTAATATGTCAACTTCATTTTCTTATGTGTGTGTCTTCTTTTCAATAATAAACAATTGTTCAGAAAATATTCAAATTCGGGTGTTTTTAAAATGCTTATTGCAACGAATGCATAGACAAAATCTACCGTTTTTGTCGCGAAATAAACCATAAGAGATATATAGAACATGATATTGAAAAGAAATGTTGACCATACATTCAGTTTTCGCGGTTTTAAATTATTTATTCAAAATCAATGCAACAAGTTGTTTGCTTTTTTATTGTTTTGATAGTAATTCTGACATTACAAGCCAAACAGGTAGACCTCTATACTTGCAATTTTTTCAAAATTGACCTACCTTCTCTTCATTGTACCATGCATCTACCATGCAACCTATTCCTTCAATGTTGCCATATTTACACTGAATGAGATTTTCGTAGTTCATCAAATCGTACGGAATCTGAAGAAGTTAAAGCAAAACGATCGATTTTGAATTGCGGAATTCAAACCATTCCGACTCGATTCTGTGACATGCGTGTATGATTGGAAGTGGAAATTGTAAAAAATATTCTGATTGAGAAAAGTTTTTTGTTTTTGTGAAAAGAAACTCAATTTTGTTAATTTTTACACAATCCCGTTAGTTTCGATTGTTTCTGTAATTGAAGCGCAAAGTAATAAACACAATATTAAGAAAAATTTTTGTGGTAAAAATGTTTTATTAATTGGTTTCGTCAATTGAGAAACAATTACTTTTATCGATTTATTTTAAATAAAAGGGTAACAAATGTAAATTTAATTGTATATTTGTATTACTTGAAAGTGTTTAAGAGTATTTTAAAGTTATCCCACGGAATTAATACCGCTTTCGATTGGAATGCGTTTCTGTAACATGCCTGATAATCTTCTCTGAACGGTTTTGTACGTAAATTGAATTAATGATGTACATATGTACTCTGTTTGAGTATACATTTCTTTATGGTTCAACATTTATTTATGCATAGAAAATAGGTTCCACCTCTGATTTGTGTGTATGCAATGGATTTGTAAATATACATTTTTACAATGAGATGTTGTCAAATGAATAATTTTGAAAAAAGTTGTTGTCGTATGATTGCATGACTTTACCTTCTTAATTTTACCATGTTATAACGGTAGCTCTTTATATATATATGATACTTTTCAACGGAATTTTTCCAAATATGGTATTATAAGTTTGCAAGAGGTTTTACCTATTATAGCAGAACAAAGTCTGTATAGGTCCACGTCCACGTATATATAGCACCCATGTTCCTACTGATATTCCTCATTTTTTACGATTTAGTCCATATTTTCTATCGAATTTATTTAAAATTCGGTACGGTAAAATTCGGTTCTAGAACATTGTCCATATGGGTTCACGGTTACTATATAACGACACCCACCGATAATCGGAATTTCGAGCATTTTCTGCATAATTGTTACACATGTGGTATTTAACACTCACAAAACATAAAAAAACCTCTATGGGTTTTCGTTTTGGTATGGCCCCCATATAACGGTTCAAACCACTTTATTATTTATAGAATACGTTATTGAGTACTCTTTAGCTAATGGTTCAATACCCTCGAAAGTTTTTCATTTTTCAGTGTTTTATGCAGTTGTTTGAATTTCAACAACTTTTTTTTCCCGATTTTATTCGTATCCGTTAAATTAATATCAAACGAGTAGAAATGTGACCTTTCGAACTATTTTCACTTCTAAATTCGAAGTACATAGTGATTCCAATCCGAAAGTAGAGTATGATTATTCTATACTCGGATATGGCAATCCGAAAGTAGGAAATGGGTTTGCGAATTCGAGTTAGTTGGTAGGAAAAATTCGCATCCGAAATATTTTACTTTCGAAACGAGTTACATAGTAACCCCCCTGATCTACTTAAAAAAAACACATGTTGATGAAAGAAATGTTCTATGGTCCGTTAGCAACAAAATATGTATTAAAATATAATTAAATTTCAGAAAAATGTTCGCTTAATTTTAAGCGGAATGCGTTGTTTTAATGGGATATATTCCCATTGGAGGGATATATTCCAATTGGGAGGTAGTTTCAACATCACGCAACACGTACAACATAAAATTAAATAACAAAATTATATTAAATTCACATATTTTCGCCATGAAGATCCTAAAAAAAATATAAAAATTTCAGATATATGCTATCGAATATGAACATTATAAACAAATTTTACAATCATATTCAAAATTAGTTCAAATTTGTGAAAATTATGTTCTGATGTTACAGAAATAATTTCTAATGCATACAACATATGCGGCATAATAAGTGCTCGAGCAATCCTAAACCATAAGGGTAAATAAATGCTGGTAGAATACAATTTACGTAAAATTAAATATGGTATCAATATGGTATCCAAAATTTAACTTATTATCCAAAATTACTCCCAAACACCTATGTCTATAAACAAAAACAACCCTAGAATCTCCTATAAAAATCTCAATATTCTATTCATGAGAAGCAAAAATAATAATTTTCGATTTCCACTAGTTAATATGTAAAGATTTATAATTCTTAGGATACCATTTAAGCAGGAATCTACTTTTCTTTTTTTAAACAATCCATGTTATTTGCTTCAGAATTAAAAAGCTGCGTTACATCATCAGCAAATATGAATAATGATTAGCTCCTTCTATTACATAAGGTCGGGAAAATGTATATTGTACGGAGAATTCCCTCCGGCGTATTAGACTTAATTAGACCATTATAAAAAAGCAAAATTTGAGATTAAAATGACCGAGGGCATGTTATATTTAATAAAGCATTTGATAACTTTATAAAAATGGAAAAAGAGCGAAGAACACAATTGTCAATTACGCCTTTATAACTGCACTTTTTTTTATAATTTTGTATAGAAAATTCCTAATAACAGAAGTGACATGCACCGCTCAAATACTGGACCTAGGAATCATACTTCAGTGCATTCTTTTAGCAAAAGAAAAAATAAATAAAATAGAAAATTTAACAAGAGAAGACTAAGTTCTGAATTCGCAACCCGTATGGCCATATTGAAATTTACTGTCTGTTTTCGTAAGCGGTCAACTAATTGTATTTTATAACTTTCTCTTGGTTTGCCGACGATGACTTTTAAACTTACAACATCCAAAAGAGGGTTTATTTCCACTACACTGTAATTGGTCAATTTTTTACTGAGAAGGTATGTTCAAACGATCTATTCCATACTTACATGACTCTCATTAAAAAAAGTAAACTCTCTAAAAATATGCACGATTATATAATAATACGTCGATATTTATTTCTAATTATTTCGTATGAAGTTATATTTTATCCACAATAAAAGTAGTTTATATTTATTTTGTAGAATTTTCATCTCATTTGATAAATCATACCTATTTAAACAATATTTTCATATTTTGTTTTTATGTTTTTTTATTTTTTATCTTATAGAATAAAACTTTATCTCGTGTAAGAGAACCATTTCTCAAAGGGTTTAGCATTTCATGATTTGGATAACCTTAAATATAAAGTAAAATGTTTCAATAAAATAGACTACGACACAATAGCTTAAAGCCCAGAGTATGAAAATTATATATAGACAGATATAAATCAACAGGAAAGGATATTGACATTATTTCGGAAAAAAAAGTTTAGAAACAGTTTATAAATAATAAATTAAAAATCTTTAGCAAACGAAATGCAACCGAGGAAAGCGTAAACCATTAAATGTAAGCATTGACATGAGAACGTATACTAAACGACTAAATAATCAAAACTAGAATTATTGTTTATTTTTTGATATTTACTTGTAGAATGCAGAAATAATAACAAATAATATAATAACAATTTTATGAGTGGGACAGGACCTAAATAGGATTTAGGCGATAAAAGGTTAATTCCAAACTTCTTTTTTAATTCGCCATTATGCTTGTAAAGAAATACGTTACGATTACAATTAATTTTTAGAGCACCCCCCACATACGGTTTTTGCTACGTTAAACTACATATAAAACGTTCGTTATAATTAAATAATAAATTCCTACGACGATTCTTTCTTACGCTTGGTTTTGTTTTAAAATTCTTAAATATTTTGCACCCAAGCTAGGGCACTAATTTTAATGTTAACTACGAGAGAAGTTATACATAAAAATTGCACAAATTCTTTACTGAAGTACCGCATAACGATGACACCATTTTTCTATTGTCATATATTACGGGTCTAGCTCTTTAGTTAATAAATCTAATATATTCAAGAAATGAATATAAATTAACATGCAAAAGTTCATAGGTAGTCGTAGCTACAACTGACCAACTACCTAGCTTGGTAATCTCAATGCAATTTCTATATGTGTATGTTATACCAATTGGGTAGTTATCGATGTAATGATAACAATACATATTGGCCAAACTTTCTTCTCTTATATAAATCACGAAGCATAGATCGCACGATAAAAATTATATTAACCCGACTTTATGTTGAATATTTTATGATTTATCATCAATATTTTCTTTATAATTTGAACTTATCATCGATTATTAAATTACTATTTAACCTGAGTCCGTATGTGTTGCAAGAATTCATAGTATGATAAACTAGATTCACTTCTATCGTCGACTAACTTTTCAATTAGTTGTGGTTTGGCCGTACTTGTATCCCTGTAATAAAAAGAAAAATAAATGTACGTTAGAAAGTGTAGTTGTGGGATATGTTCATGCATTTCATTACCTTATGATCTGTACAATGGGGGGATAGGGTTTTTCATCATTTAATTTCATTATGAAACGTTTGAGTGCATCATTTTCTGTACTATTTACACTTGGCAGACCATAGTAATAATCTGGCAATTCAGCGGTTGTTTTTATACCTAAAAAAATAAAATTCGTAAAAAATATTTAAAACCAGGCTAATGGCATTTTCAGTCTATGTACGTACCAAATACGCTTTCCAAGATATTAACTGGTACATTTAGACCAACATATATTATTATCAATGTACCACAATCCATTAAGAATATTGAGCGCGAATCCAAGCTATTAGAGAAAATGCGAAACATGTAATCAAAGAAAAAAAGAACAATAATACCTCATAATACTTACTGTTCCGCCGATAACTGTAAACGTTGTACCTCAGGCAAATCGTCATCTTCCTCATCTGCATCACCGGCGGCATTGGTGTTTGCATTTTGGTTATGGTAAAATAATATATCGATGTTGTAAAATTCAGGATAAATGAATTTCATCAATTGATCTAATGGTAATGATTTCATACAGTCCATGGCATACACACGATCGTCAAGGCGCGTGCTGGTACCAACGCGGAAGGCAGGCTACAAGAAGAGTAAAAATAATTATTATTTGTGACACTAGATCGTAGAATTTGCATATTTTTTTCTTTCGAAGTTATTTAAAAACTTCGAAGTTATTTAAAAGGGTAATAAATTTAAGGACGTATAAGAAACACTTCTATTGTCGGTTAATAAAAAAGAACATTTTTCAAATATGCAAATTCTGAAAAATAACCGATAACCTACATGTTTCAATAAGGCCGAAATGTACAAAGGCAACAGAGCCAAACTGCGTGGAGCAATTAGTTGGCCCGACTGTCCAGACGGCAAATTTTGTGCAATTTTAAATGCATTCAATATATCAACTGTTGCATTAATGAATGCTTCCCGGGCGTCCGCTATATTAGAAGTTATGGACCGATCAACAGCCATTTTGGATAGCAATCCTATAATCGCTTCGGTGTCAGCGGCATGCATTACTTCGGGCAATGAAGCTGTAACTGGCAGACACATTGTATGAACTCGAATGCGACGTTCTCCTTCGCTGTTCGTATAAAGCAAAGCCGCTTGGAAGCATATGGTTTTGACGTCCGTTAAACTTTCCTCGTACGAAATCTACAAATTTCCAATTAAAACAATCAATATGGACTACATAACTAACTACCAAACAAGACATACCTGCATACCATATCCAGCATCTGGATTAACATTGGGCAACGACAGTAAGTCTGTAGAGCGTACAAAGAAATTGCCATGGAATGTGTGTACCTGAAGACCCCTAGTACATCGTATACGCATTACAGCTTCAAAGCCAATCTTGCGCACCAAATAACGCTTAAAGCAATGTTTCAACGAATCCACCAAATGTGCCTTGGTCTTTTGATACAGCGGAAAATGATGAACACAACCACCGCTATGTTTGCTAATGCCAGCTATGAAATACAAAAGAAATTTATTAGGTTGATTTGTAGTCATTGAATGTGTAGACATACATATTGTAGCTATGTCACTATATTGTTGATTTAGAAGGAATAAATCACAAGCAATTTGATAGCCGGAGCATTCCAAAGCATATCGTTTGTAAAAATCTGTGGCTGGATTTAAATGGGCGACATCCTTCGCCGAACGGTTGTTGGGATCTTCGCGAGGCTCTAATGCACCAGGCCCTTTATTAGGAAGGCACGTTTGGAAAACGGTTATACGACCACCCGAAGCTTGCTGAAAAGTTATTTTCCAATTAATATAAAATCAACGTGAATCAAAAGCGAAGGAAAATATACCATTAGTTTGAAGGCTACTTGTAAAGCAGCGCCCAATGCTGATCCAGGATCATGTGTGTCTGCAAAACGAGTTGGCAACTGATTTAGCAAATCCTTCACAAGTTCTTTACATTCCTTTAGATTGACCAATAAATTATCAGGCCGTGGCAAAAATGGATCTGAAATATAAATACATATTAAAGGTAAGCAGGCTTTATGAATAGAATGAGTGTTAAGTTCAACTGGATGATCTTGGAGATCTTAGCTACTAGACCAGGGGCCCTATTCTGTAACTTTTTAACAACTTTACTGTTTATTTTCCAAAAAATACTTTTGTGTTAGACACAATAACAAAAGAATCTTTAACAATAACCAGAGTAGTTAAAAGTTACATAATAGGCCTACAGTTATGTTATTAGTGGTGATGAACTCAAAATATTTACCATCAATATCTAATAATGTCATTTCATGGGGTTGATTGTAGCCCTCTGCCATACTATAAAAGTGAACGTTGCTGTTGTACGCAATAAAACCAACTTGGGTACGAGCATCGCCAGGCATATCATCCAAATGTTTCGTTAACAACGCACACACATTCTCCAAATAACCACATTGTTGAGCAATTATGGAAACGTCGAAAAGGAATAGGTATATTGCTGGTTGTGGGGGTCGCAACTGCAAATTGTAAATAAATAAGATTAAAATTATTGACAACACTCAATAGAATAATGTAAGTTTAAATAGTTACCATATATTCCGAAGGAGCTATAAACTCGATTGTACTTGAACGAACTTCCGGGCGACGAGTAACATCGCCATAGGTTTTCGTAGCGGGATCAAATTGAAAATCTTCGGGTACTAAAAGCGAAAAAGCATATACATATCGTTTTACATAAGCGTACAGTTCTTTGCAACAAATAACAAATACAGATTGGAACGGTTTTAGAAACTTACGCTCATTAACTCTATAGCACAGATTGCATTTCCACATTTTACTGTCGACAAAATAAACAAACGGATTTATATATGTTCTGCACAAACGACAACGAACTATATTCGGACACTGGATTACTGGTAGGCTCTGTTCAATAGATAAGAAGTAAAGGAAATTAAAGTTGATTTATGACAATGTTCTCGTTATACTTACATTTATATCACGGAATGGATGAATTACAATTCCAAGTGGTAGCCGAGATTTTTGCAATAATGAATTGCTTTCTGGAATCTTGGCTAATGTACAACGCATTATACTAAAAAAAAAGAATTTTTAAAATAAAAGAATTAAAAAAAAAAAAAAAACAAAATAAATATAATATAGAGACATAAAGATAAATATCACAGTTAGGCTACGTACTTGGGATTACAGTTTATGGATTCATGGAACTGATTATGCAGAACTATTTTAGGTGGTGCCAATGTAGCGGGTGACAAAATGTGACGATTTTGCATTAAATCAATTGTATCTTGTCCCCACAAACGGTTAAAGCCCTGGTGTACAACACTACCCGCAGGATATTGAGGAGTTTGCTGTTGTTGCTGATACGCCTGATTCTGATTTTGATATTGCAAAGGGCCACTATTGGGCTGACCATTAAACATGCCTGTGGGCTGAGGGGGGCCAGTCATTTGTTGCTGAGAATAATTGTAAGCTGCAGAATAAGCTTGCTGTGGCTGCTGCTGAAATTGTTGTGACTGTTGTTGCTGCTGCATTGGGGGAGGCAGTTGTTGATTTGGATACATAGGTTTTCGTTGTCCCATCGGTTGCTGTGATGCGTTAGCTTGTATATGTGGTGTTGGCTGATTATTGTTTAGCTGATTTTGTAGTACATTGCCACTATTTGTTGGAGGTCGGGGAATCGATCCACTAATAGGTGGACCACCAACATTGCTATTGGGATAATTGGCATTTTGCGATGGACTCTGTTGATACGTCATTGGTGTTGATGAGGAAGTGTTATAAGTGCTAATTGGAGGTCGGAGTGGTTGGCCCAATGGCTGTTGCGGTTGGGGAGGACGATTGCTAAGGTTAGCAGTGGTGTTTTGACTTGGATTTGGCGAACCCATCCCGACATGCTGTGTATTTAAAGCAGATGTTTTAAAGTTTGCCTGTAACGATGGACAACCATAAAAAGTTAGTTGTTATTTTTAATGTTTTTCGTACTTACCGGGAAATTATTCATTACTGGTTGGGCCTGTGCATTTGGTACAGAAACTGTAGACACATCTTTTCCAGCCATTGGCATTGATTGAGATGCTGACACAGTAGTAGGTGGCAGAGCTGTGCCGTTAATTCGGTTCATATTTAAGTTTTGCATACTGCTATTCAATTGATTCATGCCGGGCGTAGAAGCTGGGGCGATTGGAGGATGTGACGCCGGTGGTATGCTTCCCGAATTTGAGGATGACGTTGGAACGTATTGGTGCTGCTGTTGTGTTAATTGAATGGAAGGGGAAGCTGTCCTTGAAGAATTAGCACTTGCAGTTGCATTGACACCGGCGCCACCACCATTTGAAATTGAATTTGACCCATGGGTCGGTCCATTCATTGCGCCTGGTGGTCTCATATGGGGTGGTAAATTACTGGCTATTGGGGGTTGACTCGAAGGCATTCTTTGCGGGCCGTTGGTGTTTGGTGAAGGTGCAAAGTTTCCTGGAGTCCCACTTGCTGTCATCGAAGGTGGCATAAATTTACTCAAATTGGTGTTTAAGGTAGCCGGTGGAACGGGCATTCCAGGAAATTGTTGCTGTTTTTGCTGCATCGGTTGTGACATTTGTTGTTGCTGCTGTTGCGGTTGCTGTGGAATTTGGGTTGATCCCAGAGGTGGCATGCCGTTAACAGCATTATATTGTCCCATATTTTGTGGTGGTCCATAATTTGAATTGGCATATGACGACATTTTCGTTTATTTTTTAATTAAACATAGAACTTTTGGAGAGTCTGAAAACAGAAATGAACGCTTTAGTAGGCACTTTTTGAGTATTCTAAAAATGACGGTGAACATAAATATGAACAGTCTATCTTATCATTACATTAAATAGCCGTGACCTTGCAAATTACAATCATATTTTTGGAGATATTGTGTTTGTTGTTTATCAAGAGTACCTACATGGCAAGCACATTGTACGCCGACTGTGGGCACTGTCTTATCAATACGTGAAATTTTAAGACGTGTGCTACCTATACTTGTACTCTTGCTAAGTTTATCTATTCAAGAAGGCGGAGAGTCATTGACTGACATTGGCAGCGAAATCTTAATTTAAAATTGTTATTTGGAGAAATGTCAAATATGGGAATAAGAGGGAAAGCAAAATGATTGGGAAAATGTTTACTTCTGAAAAAGTATGTGGTTAAGCACATTGTTCATAGGAATTTTATTTTGCAAAAAAGCAAACAGAAAAGATTCTCTCTTACTCCTTTCCTATACAACAATTCACCTTAAAAATTACGAGCGAAATAACTTAAGACGGTATTTTTAAAACATAAAGAGTCTTCGTAAATTTCCGATTTCGATAACGTACGCTTTTATGAAAATGGAGGAAATTTACCCTTAAAAATAACTAAATGTAAACTTCAATGAATAATGGGATTGTAGCGCTAAATGTTTAATATATAGGTATTGACAGTTTAACTAAATTACTACATATTCGACTCAACCGCAAACAGTAGGAGACTTTTAAACAAAAATGTATCTATGAAAAATATCTTAAATATGAGCAAAGTATTTTGATGAGCTCCAATAAGAAAATCGGAAGTAGAGTGTTCTCTTTTCGGTTAAAGCGGAAACAGAGAGCGCGTTTGATATTGACCCAGATAAAGCAGCGAAGATTCACCTCAGCAGACAGCGCGAATGTATTGTGGCTAACGCAAACAAAACGTGATAGAAAACTGCATAAAAAATAAAAATGGAAACAAGTTATACGGGTGTAATGAACTACATTTGGGAACTTCAACAAAGAATTTACAAAACGAACTTCAATTTCAACGGCCCAACGAGAGTGTCAATTATAACAAGAAACGAACGTATGTGTGCACAACTCATTCACACGTATGTACTTTCTTTCATTGATGTCAAGGCACGACACCCAATGATCGCTCCTCTAATATGGCTTATTTTTTTAGAAGATCGTCGAGAATTGGATAACGCTAAGGCAATATATTCAAGGGTCTCCCAGCAATTGTATTTCGATTGCGTCCTATAATGGTCATGTTTAATTGAAATTTGACATTTGTTTTTGGCACGAAAGGCCCCGTAATTGCCTCGTACGAAACGCAAATTCATGGGGTGGTATATATACACACACACTCACGTCACTAGACATCAGCCAGCAAAAGCAAAGAAATTACGATAATTGGAATGTGCATCCATCAAAAAATTCACAAAGGCAAATATATAAGGTCCAGTTTTCGATCTCAAACACAGTTGGAAAAAAAGAAAACGTCACTTTTTTATTTATCTTACTTTCCCCTTTCACTTATTTACCTCAAAAACGTTTTCTTCACTTAGTAATTTTATACGGAGGAAATCCTTGTAATTTTACAAATTAGGTTTCAAAGTTCGAGAAAACTTCGGTTGCCTTGCCTTGTGTCGTCTCCTCCCTTTTATGACCGACGATTAACGCTGTACTTTATCACTGTCTTCACAATAACCATATACACTCGTTTCTGCACTTATCACCGTCCTTTAACAATTTGATTTGTTTAATTAGTCGTATTCTTTTCCTCGGAACTTAACTATTTTTTTCATTTAGCAAAAAATGACAACTCAGCTCTCATTGTGAGAAGTGCTGCCCACTCAGAAAATAGGCTAAAAGAAGATATTGCAAAAAGTGCTGCCCAATCCGAAAATAAATACATATAGGAACTCACAATAAGTGATGCCCAATCAAAAAAATATAAAAAGGGTTCTGCAATGAAAACATATTATTTTTTATTCAACATAAAATCATGGTAGAATCAAGAAGGTAAAGTCAGGCAATCATATGTTTGCAATTTTTTCAAAATTCTTCATTTGACAACATGTCATTGTATACAAATCAGAGATGGGAACCTATTTGCTATGAAGTAAAATTTGACAAGGTAAATTACAGAAAATACAGAGATGGATATGACTTTTTGAAATGACTTTTCCTTCTTAATTTTACCATGCATATGGTATTCAAATGGAAATTTCCTTCCTTCCTGGCGATACATAAGCAGTTGCACATTAAAAACGAACGAAGCGTGGAACACGAATTCTCGTAATTTGCACATAAAGGAACAAAACTATTCTGTCAAGACTTGAATAAAATAATTGATATTCCGAAAAATAATTAATTATCAAACAACTAAGGGATCTGATTATAAGGTATATATAAGGTTTTATTGATTGATTTTTCTTTTGCTAAGATCTATGATCAGGTCACGCAATAGGCGAATTAATAGGTTCGTCTGGTTACTTTTACTGCAGGAATTGTACAGTAGCTTCTTTCTGGGAGAGTATGGTAGCTTTAATCTTTTTTGCAAGAAATTAAAAAAAATTAAACAACTTGCAAGCAATCAGCTGATTTGTCAGAACAAAACAAATTGTGTGCTATAAACAGAAAGGAAGCACGCACAAATTAATTTGAGCCAAAAACAATTACGTCTGCAATTTCCAAAATAAATAAAGGAGATGAAGGAGAGCAGCAAGAATAAAATGAAAATAAAACCTTATGTTAAATGAATTGCTTCACCAAAATCAAAAAAAAAAAAAAAAATATATATATATATATATATTTATATATAGCATTTTCAATCGAAATGAAAGTTTTTGCAAATCAAATGAAACTTTTAGATTTATAGAAGGAAAATACCAAAACATTTTTAATTTTAGTAGGTTCAAAATTATATCAACTAATATTAACTAATATATAGTTAAAGATAAATTTTTATTGATTATTAATATCTACATTTTTATATTATTACTTAAATTTTCAATTATTGTAATAACAAATGGTTCGTTATTGATTTGATATTAAATATTTCCATATTATTAAATTTCTAAATGCTCAACGCTAAAAAGATAAATTTAAACAAATTGTTGGCTTTTATAGGTATGGGCAGGACTGAAATACAAAATTAAGCTTTACTGCAATGTTTTATAGTTGATATAGAAATGATTCCAGCTTCGCAGCTTTATTTATTATGGAGATTATGGACTTCAATACCAAACATCCTAGACACAATACAATGTTGTGCGAATTTTCCAAGCTCTTCATCAAATCTAAATATCGTGATTTCAATAGACAGAGGGGGTGGACATCATTAAATCAACTTTGTTCTGATTGTATATACTTTATGGGGAATAACAAATTTAATATACCCTCGTTTCCGTTTAGGAGGTTATAAAATGGTGTCTTTTGGAGGAAAGACCTTTAAAAACTTTTTCAAACTTTTTTATGGAAGCTGGAAATTTAAGAAATAATGTTATAAAAACATAGATATTAATGATCAATAAAAATTTGCAACCGAAATGAATCTTTTTGCAAATCAAATGAAACTTTTATATTTATAGAAGGAAAAATAACAAATTTAAACAAATTTTGGCCTTTATAGGTATGGTCAGGACTGAAATGTGAAATTAAGCTTTACCACAATTTTTTATAATTATAGTATACTAATAATCTTACCAAATAAAGGATTCCCGCTTCGCAGCTTTATTGATTATGAAAGTAGAGCAGTCGTGATTTCAATAGACAGATAAGTGGAAATCATTAAATCAACTATGATCATGATTGCATATACTTTATGGGGTCTACGACGAATATTTAGAGGTGTTACAAACCGAATGACAAATTTAATATATCCTCCTTTCCATGGAGGAGATTATAAAAAGATACCTAATTCGGGTCCTTTAAAAAAAATAAATGGAAGCTTTAAGAAAAAAATTTATAAAAACTTAGAGATTAATAATCAATAAAAATTCCTCTTTAACTATATATTAGTAATAATTAGTTGATTTAATTTTAAACCTACTAAAAATAAAAATGTTTTGTTATTTTTCCTTGTAAAAATCTAAAAGTTTCATTTGATTTGCAAAAAGTTTCATTTCGGTTGCAAAAGGTTTCATTTCGGTTGCCAAAGGTTTCATTCCCGCTGCAATAGGTTTCATTTCGGTTGCAAAAGGTTTCATTTCCACTGCAAAAGGTTTCAATTCCACTGCAAAAGGTTTCATTTCCGCTGCAAAAAGTTTCATTTGGATTGGAAAAGGTTTCATTTAATCTGAAAATGCTATATATTATTGTTTTAAATTTTTTCTCCAAATGAATATAATTTTCTTTATGTTTAAAAAATCTTTTAATTTTAAAACAAGGCCAACATAATGTTTCACAAGAAGGGTACTTTTACCAACGATTTGACAGTTAGCTTTGATTTTCTTTGTATTTCAAGTCACAATTATGTTATATGACACCAAAATTATTTGTCAAATGGGCTTACTAGCCTAACTTATATAGGCCATGTTTTGAAAAGCACGTCATACAACTATATGTTTACAATTGTTTCAAAATTAACCATTTAATAAAAACAGTAAAATTTGACATGGTAAATTATAGAAAATGCAGAGATGGATGGATTAAGTTATAAGCCTTTCTTTTAATGTGACTTTAATTTATCTTAATATACAGCATTGTCTAAAATGTATAGAATTTAAAATCAGAATAACTTGAATTTATTGGAATTATAAACTTGCAGTCAATACTTATCACATTCTTAAATTGCCGACTCCTGAAACACTTATCCCATGAATGCAAAATACCATATGGTAATATATTCCCTTACAAAATAGTTGACAAGTTCTAGATGATGTAACGATTTTACATATTCTTTTATACAATTGTGTGTTTAGATACATCCTTAAGCTGCTATCAGACGATGTGGGTTTTACATACGTAGTGTCAAATTTTTCATATGTAGAAGATGCACACATCATGTGATACATGGACCACATTTCCGTTGTGAAATACATGAGTAAAGTACACTGTAGTCTTTCCACTACAGCGAGAGTTATTTTCATCGGAAACATATAATTTAATCAAAAGTGTTGTTTGTTTATTGTTTAAAAATATATAATATTATTTGTGGTAAAAAGTTATCCATAACGTATTATGATTTTTTAGAAAATACAATAAAATACCAATGAAACCAAATACAAATGAAAAAGTGTGTCGTAGCGAGATGAAAGAGTCACATGTAAATTGGCAGTTTTGATATACAGACGGAAATACACATGGATAATAAAAGTGACGACACTTTATCACATGTCCCTTATTGTCTGATAGCAGCTTTAGCAATATATAAATAACGCTCAGCTGATGTTTGTTTTTGTATATATAGACAAACAGAATGCAAAAAATAGCGAAAAATGTATAAAAAACGCTATATAAAGATAGTTGGTGTTGGGGAATAAGTGTTTAGTCACATTGCAAGGAAAATAATGCACGTTCCAGTGTATTATCTTGAGCAAATACACTCTTGAGTTTTTCCGCGGAAATATTTGCGACTTTGGAGTGTACTAAAATACTTATGCTGTACCCAGCGATGCTTCCCGTTAGTATGTACAGGGTGACATAAAAATACTGCAACAAAGTCAAACGCCGTAATTTTATTTTTATACCCTACAACACTATGTGTTGGGGGTATTATAAGTTTGATTGGGCCAAAATTTATGTAACACCACGAAATATTGGTTTCCCATATAAGAAAGTATATATGGATCTTCCTAGCTCGCCGAGCTGAGTCGATCTAGCTATGTATGTCCGTCCGTCCGTCTGTCCGTCTGTCCATGTTAATTTGTAATCACGCTACAGGTCGCAATTATGGCGACCGAAGCACGAAGGTGGGGTTAGGGTCAGAATAGAAGCCTATTTCTTTTGGAGATGATCGCCAAATGTTTAGGGGTTGAAATGGACCAAATACTTAAAAAATGTCGGATTTTGCAGTAGCTATAAAGGTAGCATGTAGCTAGAGTTTAGGGCGGGGAAGAAGCCTACCAATTTGGGTGGTCATCGGATAATATTTAGCGGGTAAAATAGACCATTTCTTTTGTGTTGAAAAAATTCAAAATTTTTCATTAAACCGCAAATATTTTAAATCCCGGCGAAATCACAAAGCCATGACATGGTTACTTCTGATCTTTACATTGGTGTTAACATCAACCAAAACGGATATATAGAAAAAATATGTGCGATATATATGTTTATCAAAGAAGATATGCTTGAAAAATCTCTTATATATCGAGAACGGCTGAACTGATTTCGACAGTTCTCATTAATTCAGAATGGCCCCTTGGCAGGAAAGAAAAAACGTCTAAAAAATCGCATAAAAATATCCTTCTAAAGATGAAAATATTGATTTTGTAAAATTTTCTCATATTTTTTTAATTTTGTCATATTTTTGGCATATTTTCATTTCGAATTAAACATTTGGTAATATTTCTACAGCTAACAGAACTAAGTAGTTAGGATATCAGGATATCATATACAGATCGCATTTATGGCCCAGTCCTTACGAAATTTTGCATGGAGATAAGATGAGGGTCTGAATAGAAGCCTACTCTTTTTGGAGATGATTGCCATATATTTAGGGGTTGAAATGGACCAAAAAACTGCAAAATTGTCTGCAGGTCGTAATTATCGCCCGATCCTCATGCACATTTGAATGTGGGTTACCGGACATTACAAAAGCCAAGCAGTTTTGGATGGCCATCCAAAAATATTCAATGTGTGAAATAATTTGCCAACTTTTGTAGACAAAATACGAAAATGTC